TTCAGGAATATTCTTGTTGACACCGTTTCAGAGGCAAACTCCTTCAGTTTCGGTCAAAATGCGTAAGGGCCTTATTCTCTTCGTGTATAAGTAAGTTTACACTTTACATATCAGATTTAATCCATCGTATGACAGACACCATTAAAGCAGATTATCATCCCTACAACAATATTCAAGTAAAGGAGCCAAGATATCTTACCACCATATCTTAAAATGCTGTATATTTCACTCTCGATCTAATCTCTTTGATGAGGTATTAAGTGATTTGGTTGGTTCCAGTCATGTGTCAACCTCGAATCATGTGAGTGTGTCTGTCTGTGTGTTCTTAAATGCCTTTATACGTTCGTATATGTACGAAACCAACAATGATGACTCAAAGTAATTAGAAGAGAATAAATAACATCTATTTTCGGCTATCAAGATTTGGTTACCTCCATTACACCCTTTTTGTGCATATTTCAACCTCGGCCCATCTGCAACTGGCCTGCCGACCGGATACCACGTCCATCGACCGTGGGACTGATGAAAGTCAATGTCTCCGGATAAGAGCAGAATTCACCCAGTTTCATTGGCCTACCAAAAGGTGCGATCTGAGTGTGGCTATCTTCTGGGAAGCAGGGTTGTGGGGAATTCAATGAAACTCGACGCCTACTCGGATGCTAGTAGGAAAATGCAACTTTCCGAATATGGGCGATACAGCTCTTATATCAACTTGACTGGCCAGCCTGGCCTGAGTCGGTGAATTCAGTATTGTCCACTCCGGCCTGCCTCGTCCGGCCCAGCTCGTCCCAATCGCAGGTCACAGAAGACCGATTCTCTCCTCAAAGATCGAAATGACTTGCGACGTGAAGAGGTTGTCAGGCGGTTGGACAGCGATGTCCCCTCCTGTCGGCAGCTATCCCTTGCGGATTCACATGCGCCAATCATTCGCTACCGAACGAGGCGGTGTCTTCTGAAAACTAATGAATACGCAGAAATGGTAACTCAACTGGCAGACCACCCCCCTGACTTACAGCTAATTGATGCTTATTGCCGACCACCAGTGACCTTTTCATTTCTCCCATTTCTCACCCTCTAGCCCCATTTCCCCACGGCCCCCACGCTCTTTGGGACGCATTCGAACAATACCGCTTTTGACAGCCCCGCGAGTGGATTAGGCGACAATGCAAATGCAACTGGAGTTATGGGAATGACTGTTTTACTTTATCTACTCAGAAACAGATCATATTCTTCACCTCCTGGGCACCATTAGCTGCATTCGGCCAGAAAAAGGGAAGAAATAGCTAATGGGACAGCTATTCAGAGGCATCAGGCAATCCAGATTCGCCTGTGTTATGTGTTAACCGACTTAATTATCACGGTGGGAATCTCGAAAGTATAATGGTATAAGTGGCAGAGCGATATTGTCTTGCTGCCCAACTCCGGGTACATAAAGCGTCAAATGGGTAAGCAAATCCGTAGCAGTCTTTCTAGCAATTAAGAGCGAGAAATGTAGTTAATACTAATGCCCGGATTCTATAAAAGTTATATCTAAAAAGGTAATGGAAAAAAATTACAAATAATTAATAAACAATTTTATATGAAAAAGGATAAATTTGTAAAAGTGTACAATTTTGATTAAATAAATAAAAACAAATAAACATATATTATTTAGCAAATAAACAAATTATAAATTGTTAATTCACCATACTTAAATGTAGTTTTTATTTTTATTTTTATTTGATTTTATCTAATTATTTATATTTGAATATTATTACTATAGTATTAATGTTAATGCGGTCATTATTATTCAATACTGATAAATTCAATAATTTAATAGAAATACGAAAAATGTATAAATAAATATAAAGTTAATATAAATAAATACAATTAAATATCAAGAACTTAACGTATATAATATTGATATTTATTTATTTATTTATTTATATATTTAATAGATACTTTTTAATTTTAATTTTAGTTTTTTATTACATAATTAAATATTAGTTCAATAGTCTTGAAACTAATGCGATAATTGCTATTAAAATATATTTAATTAGGATAGATAATTTCATATTAAGCAATACATAATAAATGATTCACTTAAAAATAAAATATGCTATGTTATAAAATAATAAAAATAGATATACAAATTAAAAATAAACAAAATATTTTTAAAGGTATGAAGACCAAGATGTGGTCGCAGTCTCCTTTCGTTGTATAGAAGCTATTTGACCTTGTCTTCGCAACTTGGTCATATTGGCAGGAAGACCTAGTGGAAAGTCTACAGTATACATAATAATTTACAAAGTCGGACCCCAAGTCTACGGTCCGACTGGGGTTTAATTATTGTTTTGGGATGAATTTCAAAGAAAATTTGGCTATGATCTCTAATGCTGCTAATCGAGTCGTCCGAACCAAAGCTTCATTTCTTATGAGTGGTAGTGCTGAGCTTTCGTCCGTCATGCGACGGACATCGTCAGAACAGAACATTGTGCTTGACGATAATTCACCGAAAAACACGAAGGCAAGAAAGGTCCGCTTATGCATCTCCTGTTTTGGTTGGACGTCTTATGCTTTGCCTCCATAATTGCTCATAAGTTAAGTGACATGTGAAGTGGCTACAGCATGCGGAGATTTTAATGAGCACGAAATTAAGTAAAGGGTCACAAATGATATTGACCAACATAGCGAGGTACTGTACCTAGTTTGCCTTTAATGGTAAACCGTACGAAAAAACACGAGGTTTAGCTTTTGTCACCAATTTCAGCAAATAATTACATACCTCAATTTGAGAAACGCTCAATTAAAGAGGCACTATTAGCTCCTAATTTATTAGTTGCTATATGGACGACTACTTGGCTATTTAGTTACATGGCAAAGAAAACGTGGAGAGTTTTCTAGGTTTGATTAACAGGATCGATGTGAAGACGAAATTCAACATCGAGTTAGAAAAGGAAGATGGTTTACCTTTTCTTGAAG